GACAGGAACCCCAAAGACCTTTGGTCTAAAATAACCCAGCGAGTTTAGGTATCAGTTTCCATTCCCACAAATTAAAGAAATGGGACCATACGATCTGTGACCTCTACCAGGTCTGCAGCTCCTTGATTCTAACGCATGCTTTTCTCTAAAATAGCTCCAATTTAAGTACAAGGAAGAAAAAAATACACGAGTGCATGCATATTTCTTTAATCTTCCATGTTCTCTTTTGGATTCATTAAGTTTACCCTATTTTTTTCCCCCAGAGAATCATGGCCACAACTTAAAGAAGCCAGCTTCCTAAAAGTGACAGTTAGTAGAAAGTTTGTTAAAACAACACTTTTAACCTCTAATAACTCACATTCAAATGGACATTGTAGCTCATATAAGCCTAGCATTCAGGAGGCTGATGCAGTATTTAAAGACTCGGCTACCCTGATCTGCATAATAAGACCATGTCTCAAAAACAAAAAGAAAGGCTGCATTTTTCTTGTTGTTGTTTTGCTTTTAAAGCAAAAATCCAACAGTAATGACTTAGTTTTTAAACCACTGGTAGAGAGGTTATAGTACCTATTTCCTTTTCCTGGATTAGTTTGGATAGGAAAAAGATGAAACGTGGATACAGAACTTTTTGTGGGCAGCTTCTATTAGAAGCAACATGTAGCAGTTGACTCTTCCTCCCCAGCCTTAAAGAGATACAGAAACTAAATTCATTCTACTCAGCCATTCTAAGCTGCTGTGAAGAAAATTCTTTAAAATTTTTCAGCATAGACAAAACAGCCCTACAGACTACAGCTAGGATATCTGAATCTTCTTCGAATCCCCCAAGACAGCGCCCCTTACCAGCAGGAAGTAGTTTGGAAAGAACGACGCCCAAATTCCCAAATATTGTGTATAAATGTTTGTTTTCATTTAATTGGACTTTGTTATATAAAATTAAATACAAAAATTATATATAAAAAAATTTTCAGCATTTAGGGAATTTCATATATTATACCTTATATCAATTCAAAGGAGTAAAACATGGCCAGACCTTTAAAATGTTTGCAATAAGATAGCTAAGAGGAATTCACTTTTAGGGAAGTTTTCAGTAGAAGTCTTGGATTTTGACTTTATGGTGTCATTAATCAGTCTGAGTAACTCACTGATCAAGACATCTACCCCTTCCCCAAAAGCCTAAAGCTTCAGGTGACCTCTGTGTGTGTGTCTGTCTGTCTGTCTGTCTGTCTGTGTGCTTGTGAATGTGTGTGTACTCCTGTATGTTTGTGAAAGCCAGAGGACAATGGTGTTCCTCAGGGGCCACACACTTCTTTTTTGTATGTGTTCTTTTGGTTTTTTTGTTTGTTTGTTTGTTTTGTTTTGTTTTGTTTTGTTTGAACAGGGTCTCTCACTTACTTAGAACTCTCTAGTACTCTAATAAGGCTTGGTAGAAGACCCAGAGATACACCTTTCTCAATGTCTCTAGTACATTTTTTATTAATAAATTTCATTTAAATTAGAAAAAAATCTTATTTTACATATCAATCCCAGTTCCCTCTCTCTCCCACCCTCCCATACTCCCCACCAACCCCCCCCCAATTCCTATCCCCTATCCAGTCCCCAGGGAGAGTAAGTCCTTCCATGAGGGATCATCAAAATCAATCAAGTCTTTTGGGGTAGGGCCCATATCTCCAAGTTAAGGGAGTATCCCTCCATGGGAAATGGGCTCCCAAAGTCTGTTCGTGCACTAGGGATACATCCTGGTTCCACTGCCAGAGGTCCCATAGACTGCCCAGTCCTCCTACTTGACACCCACATTTAGAAGGCCTGGTTTGGTCCTATTTGTTCCCCAGCTGTCAGATTGGGGTCCATGAGTTCCTACTTGCTCAGGTCAGCTGTTTCTGTGGGTTTTCCCAGTGTTGTCTTGAACCCTTTGTTCATCACTCCTCCCTCTCTGAAACTGGATTCCAGGAGTTTGGCTCAGTGCTTAGTTGTGTATCTTTGTTTCTGCTTCCATAAGCTACTAGATGAAGGCTCTAGGATAGCATTTAAGGTAGTCATCATTCTCATTATTAGGGAAGGACATTTAAGGTAACCTCTCCACTATTGCTTAGATTCCTAGCTGGGGTCATCCTTGTGGAGCTCTGTACTAAGTTCCTAGTATCAGATTTTTTCTTTAAAGCTATAATGGCTTCCTCTATTGATGTGTCTCTTTTCTTGCTCTCCTCTAGTTATCTCCTCATTCAGTCTTCCTGATCCCTCATGTTCTCCTCCCCTTCCTCTTCTCCCTCCTCTTTTTCTTACCTCCCTTCCCCTTCCCCCATGCTCCCAATTTGTTCAGGGGCTCTTGTCCCTTTCTCCTTCACTGGGGCACTGTGTATACCTCTGTTATGGTCCTCCTTGTTTTCTAGCTTCTCTGGAGATGTGGACTGTAGCCTAAATAGAACTTTTAAGGGATAACAAGCATACTACCTTTCCTTAGGTGGATCGTAGGGATCAAAATTTTGTCCTCATGCTTGCAAGACTAACACTTTACTAATGGAACTATCATACTAGAACCAGTAGTATTAATGGATGAAACAACTGTGGAGAAGAGTGTCTTGGAAGAACAATCAGTACTAACTTCCTCTGGGTTGGGGCTATATCTCAGTGCTTGTCTAGCATATGCATGGCCCTAGATTCAATATCCAATATAAAAATAAAAATACCTCAACGTTATGAAAAAAAAAAAAACAAGTAAATATTAGAAGAATCTTAACTTGAAGAAAACATCCCATGGTAAAACAAGGTGGCAATAATATGCCAATGCAATTTCTCATTAGATAATTTGTACTTTTTGATTTTTCTTTTAAAAATTGATAGTTGGGTGGGTTCCTAAGGCAAACGTCAAGTATATTGTTTACAGGAAACCCAAAATGATTCAATACCATGACATATATTCCTTAGGAGATAATAAATCATATATCAAAGATACCTAAAGAGAAGACAATAATACTTTAAATATATAAAACCATAAGAACAGATTGTATTCAAAGTTAAAAACAAAATGAAATTAAAAAGATAGACAAAAATATTTATTTAATGACCACATAGTAATCTGATACAGTCCTTAGTACATAAGAAAGAGTACATACAAACAAGCTTATAGAATATATTTTTTTTTTAAATTCAAAGGTAGAATTTGCAAACAAAAGCTATGTACATACATTGTTTTCTGCCTTAAGACCTTCAGAGTTTGTCAGTAAGGAGAGCCACTGTTAATGTTAACAGTTCCAATTTTTTATATGAGAGAAACAACCTCACAGGGTAATTCAGTCATTACTGAAGACTAAAACAATGCATCTATTTGGATGTCCTCTACTACGTGCCATTTCCTTTGTGCTATTCCCTAAGTCCTTTCAACATTACTTCTCCTCCCAAACACCATTAAGCCTCAGCTTGCTGCCAAGCTCTGATCTCGGCTAGGTCTACAGGGAAAAGGCAATAAGGAAAAGCATAGTAACACAGCTCTAAAGGATATCGGCATCTTCACTATCTGGGCCCTCCCTGCTCTATCTCACCCCTTGTTATTGGCCTTTTCCTCCATCCAGTGAACAGATTTCTCACACTTCCGTGTTTGGCACTACTGACTCAACCTTCAATCTAGAAGACTGCCTGCTCACAGATTCCATCTTCCTCTTAATATTATGGCTAGTTGTTCATCTTCACTTAGATCTAGTCCAGGAAATCCTAACACCTCCATATGGCTTCCACAGCTGGGTTTTGCGTTTTGCTTATGCATGAATAAGATTCCATATATATAGTTTGGCAGTGAATATCTGCCATATCAGTGTTGCCATGTCTTGTACTGTCTGCCTTCAAGGCTCCCTCAGTACTCCTTGAGGCAGAGATTAACTCTGATATCTAACACAGTGCTTGACTTATATGGATAAATGAACTAACAAATAACCGCAAGCAGAGACAAGCTGCCATCATGTTCCTAAAAGCCCTTTTTGTAGCTGTCCATGTACCCCTGATAAAAGTTCTCAACATATTCTTCTACTAGGAACCAGTAGAGCTAGATAATCTAATGAAGAGAGAGACAAGAGTTGGGGGGAGGAAGAGAAAGGACCTTTTGTAGTTGAGAAAATAGTCTGAGCCTTTAAAAGAAATCAAGTAAGTATTTGGGGTAATGACTAAAAGATGGTATTGAAGTCAGCTCTATCTCCTTAAGAGTTTTATATAGGGCACCTCAGAACTGATGGTGGTGATTAGCACACTGTCAGTATACCAAATGCCTGTTACAGTAAATTAAAGTACAGATCAAATCCATACTAATTCTTTTTACATAAATAAGAAAGAACCAGTCTTAACCAGCTTCAGAAAGATTATAAGAGACCCCTGAATCTTCAGACACACACAGCCAACACCAGCAACAAACTATCAGATGTTTTCCAAACATGGGAAGAACTTTCTCAAATGTAGACCGATGATAAGGTTACCAACAAAATTCAAATACATTTAAAACATGACATTAGTCCATATTCATTTTGTCATTAAATATCTTCTATGGTAATATAAAATAAGAATGACTGAGTTTTTTTTAAATGTTGATATTATTAAAACTATCTCATGCCAAAAAGGATTGAGAATCTCCAACTTAAGGTATGGTACTAAACTCCTCAGACATGGTCTAATGCACATGGATTACAGTGCCTCACAATGTACACATAAAAACCAGTCTCTTTTCTAGCTCCCATAGTGATGAATAACGAATAATACTTACATAGTTAAATGGTACTTATACATATAAAAACAAATGCTTACACATAAGACATGCATATATATATATATATGTATATATATATATATATATATATATGCCAGTTTTTCAGACACATCAGACACACAAATGTGAAATGTTTGATCAGCACGACTTTCCATATTCAGATGCCCACATGGGTGATCCCAGAGCTGCTTTGCCTCTGTTACCTCACTTTGTTTTGTAACAAGCCCCATTTTCTTAACCAATAGCCTTTCTTTTTCAACAACTGACAAAGAACAGTAACTATGAACTCATTAGTAATTTAAGGTAGGTTGATGGCCTGGTCCTCTGTGAATTTAGGAATCTTCTTAAATTCGCTTTGCTTCCTGAAGAAAAGCTGGGCCAAAATATGGTCTGAGGTGGCCAGGAGATAATCATCCATGTCAAGAGTTTGTACCTGATGATGTAAAACAAAAGCTGTGTCAACACCACACAGCTCAAAGTCCTGTAGAGGCCTGGGAGTGGCTGAGGCACCGGCAACATGTTCTGGTACTTGGCTATCTAACTTCACACAGGTGTCTATGAGTGCCAATATCCCCTGGTCATGGGGAAATCAGATCTTCAGTTCTGAGAAGGAAAGTCTGATGGAAAAATGAGCTAAGATACCTCAAGCCTTCCTTATAAGGAATCAGCCCTGTAAGAAATGCATCTATCTTCCTACAAGGAAGAACTAGTAGAGACATCTCGTGGTTCTACATCTACAGCCATGTGATTAGGCAAGCCTTACAGCCAGGTAAATGCTTCTGGTACTCTATGGCCACACTGGCTTCTCCCAACAGGGAGATTCAGAACCTCTGATTCAATGTGAGGATGCCTATCCATCTCTAGGGATCAATATTAGGAAACAGATTTGCCAAGAAATATTGGTCATATCTTGTAATATCTGCTGTACTGTGAGTGAAATGATTTCATGGATCTCTACATACTGATCCTCTAGTTCACAGCTCAGAGACTTCAGAGAATTATAATGGAAAATTTATTGATTCTCCTTCTCTTCATACACTTTTTTCATCTTCACCCCTTCACTGAACACATAATAATTAAGGCCTCCTTTGTCCACGCTCATGTCTTAGCAGATTACTGATAACTCTTAGATTTACCTGATCTCCAGTGCTGAAGGCAAGAACGAAGAACAAATCCTCATCACATGTGTTCTTGATGTAATGCTGGGTTCCCATAGGAAAAAATACCACATCTCCAATGTGGATGTTAAACTCGATTGTTCTCTGAGTATTAATGATGCCCACCTGAGGGGAAGTGACAATTTAGAACATAAAGTCACACACTCATCAGGTTAAGTATTAAATGTGAAGAACAGACATATAACATAGCTTGTGACTATATAGGGGCCTCTTAGTAAGGATATGACAGAGGCCTATAGAAGCCGAAATGTCTTACATAAATATCCATAACATCATACATAAAAGGCATCAGCCATCATGCTCTAGTAAAGGTCACAAATGATGCCCCAGACATATCAGGGAGGATTTACATTCAGTGTTTTCCCACCTACATGCCTTCATTTATGTCATCTTTCATCACACCATCTGAAGAGTCTTCCTTTTAAGTTAGAGACTAAACTTACACAAAGGCTCTCTAGCACACAAGGAATGTTCAGATAATTGAAACTCAATTCATGGAGGACTGCAATGCTCTTTTTCAATTTTCAAAAACTTCCATTCCTGAAAACATACATGACTTTTGGTCGGAGTGAAACCCATATTCTTTCCTCCAAAACTGAGAGAAATACAGACCATCAAAACATTTTATCAAAACTAGTTGATAAAGTTTATTGTGGCATTTTTCAAATGTAATTAATTCTTATTGATTCATTTGCCCCTCTCTCTTTTCCTCTATCATTCTTCTCATCCCCTTGTGCCCTTTCACCCTCTATAGACTCCTCTCCAAACACAGCCTTGTCTATCTCTGGAATTCATGACAATCTCTAGTAGCTAATGTCAAATCACTATAGCAACATACTACATTGCTTGATGTATAGAGCCTGACCACGTAAGTGATCATCCAAGCCAAATATTCTCTGAAGAGTAAAAGGGGCTATCAATAGTTTCAGCCAGACAACAGTACACTGAGGAGTATCTCAGATAATGGGGTAGAATCTGGGATACATGAGCATCACGCTGATGCTCCAAGCCTTCCCACATTCCCTCTCTCACCTTGTGCTTCAAAACAAAAAATTATTTCTACTTCCCCATGGCAGAGCAGTTTGCATTAGGTGATGATACAAAACCAAAAGCCCTGGCTTGTTCTTCAGACCCCATTATAAGACACAAATCTTCATCACTCAGACATACAGAGCCTCATGAATCTTTCTTTCTCATCAAATATGACAAACATCTAATGAAATCTGTGTGCTATCCTCTATAGAAACGGTGTCCACCAAGCCAGTAGGGCACATTCCTTTTATTCCTGATGACTAGGTTAACATGAGAAATACCTATTTGCTCCTTTCTGCATTTAAGGAAGTTTTAAAGATATGTTTATTGAGGAATTACCTTTCCACATCCACTCACTACATATCCCATTTCATTTGCATTGAAGTGAAAATGTGGCTGTCTTAATCCGTTATTGTAAATCCGGAGTGTACTCAATGCAAGGACATTTTGATGCTTTCAAAAGAAAAGGAGAAAGAGTTATTTAACCAACACACTGCTCAACAACTCAACAATTCATAAGACCACAAAATACCCAATATTTATGCATCTCTGCAAATATCTTCCACATTCCCTATAGGTATTACATCACTTACTGCTTACAACAATCTTACAAGGTCACATCATTCTCCCTACCTCACAGGTAATGAGTGAAAATTCTGAGTCAGTTGCCTAGAGTCACAGAGCAAAGAAATGGCAGAACTAGAATATGAACACAAGGAACTATACTAACACAACTGGATTTTCTTACAAAAATGGAACTCTCAGAACACTCCACTCTCTTTGCTGATGTGACTGCTTGTGTCAGGAAAGTCCCAAGCCTTATTTAGTGGCTCACATGAATGGAATCAGCCCATGATGGCCTAATGTATCTTTAACATTAAAAAGAAAAGGGAAATTAACATATGTAAGAAAGTTTTAAATGTTGTTTAATGATAACAAAGAAGAGCTTTTTCCTCAACTACCTGATGTAGAAATTCATTGAAAATTTTTTCATTGCTGTTTAGTTCATCTGCATCCTTCCAATACTGTGCTAGCTGGATGACTCCCCCTGGAAACTTATATTCTTTTGAACCTGAAACAGATGAAGTTTAAAACATGAAAACAAGTACTTCAAAATTGTGCCTCAAGACACAGCCAGTAAAACACAAAGTTCTTCCACTCACAGAAAGCTTACATAATGTCAATTGCTAACCCCAGGTCATAAGGGACCCCACTAGACACCTCCCAAACTGTCTTGAAATTCCTAAAACAGAGAAGCCTAGTACTCTTCAATGTAGGGGACCTGACTAGATAACTTGAGAGTTATCCCAAACAAAACTCTGTCCATCATCCTTGATGTAGTCAACTATCAAGTCCTTTCTATGCTATCTCTTTATATTCTTTGCTTCTCCTCACAACACAGCCACAGTGTAGGTCTATACCATCCCCTATTAGAAGGACTATGACAGTCCCTCTATTCATCTCTTTTCTGCCCAACTGGCCCATTATAATCATTCCCCACAAACCAGCCAGATACATCTTCATTTCCAAAAGCAAAATTCCCTGTTTCACGCTTATTTAATGCACAGTCACTCTACTATTCAATTAAGATTCTGTACAAACTCCTTAGAATAGCTTCTAAACTTTACATAGTCTGGCATGTCCTCTGCCACCAGTCTCTAACCCTAAAGCATTTCATAGATCTACAACATGCCCATCCACTTTGTTACATTCACGTTTGACTGTAGGATTTTCCCTACATGACCTAATGTACTGAAAAGCATTTTGTTTTGTTTTCAAATTTCTCTTGGCAATACCCCACAATCAAAAATACATTCCAAGCCAAAAACATGTAACTATATATACAAAACCTAATTAAAAACCTTCATGAAACATACTATACCTTTAAGGTCAAAAAAGTATCTCCACACAGTGCTGTCAGGAGACTGTACATAAGTAGCATTTGTAACTAGCTCTGCCAGGTTGGGAGGAAGATTGACCCCCTGATCCTCTGTTTGCTTCTGGAATTTTCTAATGAAATTAATTCCACCTTCAGGCTGAAAAACAATCATAAGTCACATGTATGGCTATGAAACACTTAACAAATTTTGATAAAAGAAAAGTAAGTGGCAGTGGATGCAGTAGCACTAACACGGATGGTTTTTGTTGACCCAGGCAGAACAAGTTTTGATATTTGTGAAAGTTTTGGGATTTTGGCTTGGGGTTTTGCATTTTAAGTTTAAATGATTGGTTTGGAATGGTCAATACAAATTCCTGCAGAAGCATACATTGCTTTCCAAACTTAGCAGCATTCTCCCTAAAAAAGCCATCTCTCTACCTCTCTCTAGAACACTAGAATACTGCCCCCCCACTCAAAGGCAGTCTCACAAGTTTACTATGCAGATTCCTCTGCTTGTTACTGAACCTTCTCCAGCTGCTAGCTACAGACCATCACTAGATTTGACCATTAGCATTTCGAGCATCTATGCCTGACCTTCTATAACCAGTATCAGTTATTCCCCTGTGGTAATGTAAATAAATGTCTGGAGAGGTCATAAGTAGTAATTGTAATAGTAATTTACAGGAACAAAAACTCATGCTATGCTATTGTACAGTTGGGTGACAGCAGAGAATAATAATACACTGTGTGCTTTCAGGGGTTAGCAAACAACAGTTTTCACTGTAAAGAATACATGTTTGAGGAGAGGGATATGCTTAGCCTGATTGATATCATGTCATGTATAGGTGCATTAAAACACCTTGGCACCTCATTAACAAAGAAAAATTCATAAGATTTCTTTTAAAGTGTCCAATTATTCAGGAAACAGGATTCTCTGGTGAAAATTAAGAAAATACAATTCCACCTGGGTAGAGGTGACACACCCCTTTAATCCCAGCATTCTGGAGGCAGAGGCAGGCGGATCTCTAAGCCAACCTGGCCTAGAGAGTGAATTTCTAGGATATCTTAGTCAATACAGAAAAGCCCTGTCTCAGAAAACCAAATATATGAAAAGAATAAAGATATAATTCTCTCATATGTAGGAAACTTCTCCCCATAGAAAGGATGAGTGACCTTTTGACTCTTCAAGACTATAAGTGGCAGCAATTTTCCATTAATTAATTATGTCATAATCTTCATACCAATACACTACAATTTTATGTGAAAGACCTTCATAAAGGAAAAATCAAAAGAAATGCAATTTCAACTTTGGTCATAGTAGGAATACAAGAGACACTTTTGAATGTGTTATTCAATCACTACTATCCCTGTTAGTGAACTTGTGGGCCTATAATGATTATTATATTTTAGAAACACTGATATTCATACTCCATGCCTGTGCAGTACATATCTTTATGATTTTACAAATATCACATACCTTAAGTGCCCTGGAAGCAATGTCTTCAGGTGTAGAAAAAAATACATCATCTACATCTAGAGTCTGCAGCTCATCATGTGTGGAAAAGAACAGCAAGAAGAAGCAATCTTCATGACCCACGTTCTTTATCCAGTGTGGTGTATTTTTAGGAAAGAAGATCACTTGGCCAGCTGTAACATTGTATGTGGTAGCGACTTCACCAGCATCATCAACCACTCCAATCCATGCCGTCCCCTAAAACATGAAAACCTTAGTTTCACTTAGCCAATGTTTCTCAATCTTCTTTTATCAACCATGTTGTAAACATACTTTGTAAACAATTATCCTTCCAATACCTTATAAAATTTTAACATAATAGCTATTTCATGCTATGTGTGAGTGTGCGTGTGCATGTGTGTGTGTGTGTGTATTGCATATTTTGCCCCCACTAAGATTACATATTTTAAAAATGTTAAAACATGTTTAAAACATGCTTTTAAAAAACTGAAGCCATACATGAAGGATCTGTACTGGTCACGGGTGATCACACAAGCACATATGCTTGTGTATGCACTTTGTGTGTTGAAGTACACACAGATACATGTGTATTACAAATAAGAAAAAGTCTGTATATAATTTTAATAATGGAGATAGAATAATAGCATACATTAATATTTTAATTATATATATTTAATTAATATACCTATTGGAGCACTTTTCTTGATTGAATTCAATTATTATTATTCTTATTTTATAGGTGAGAAAAGTGAGTTTGGTTAAGAATATATATATTTTCTTGAAGCTACTTAAGGTAGCCAGTGACAAATATGGGATTTAAACCTAAACAAGCAAGCTCCACCATCTACATTTTTGTCTACACTACATTATACTTAAAGTCTCATGATATAAAATTAAATAAGCTAATGTGTGAAGGCACTGTAAAGTAATCTAATTGATCTAAATCCTAAATGTTTGTGAGCCATTTAGTTGTTTTGTGGCAGCTAACATAGTACTATGAGGACAAATAATATTTTCTTTCATTTTCTACTCTGTTCTTCAGTATTTATTTGTATTATTGCCACTACTTATATTTTTACCATACATTGATGGTCATATAGTAAAACAAATAAATGATAGATAAACAAGAAGTCTTTGTTCTGTCTGGATGGGCAATATATATCTTGAATCCAAAATGGGTGTTAAAGAAAGAAGGAAAAGATGAACTAAGTCTAAAGCAATGGTTCTCAACCTTCCTAATGCTGTGACCCTCATGTTATACTGATCCCCAACCATGAAATTATTTCATTGCCCCTTCATAGCTGTAATTGTGTTAGTATTATGAATTAGAATATAAATAGCTGTCATGCAGTATCTGATATGCAGCCCTATGGGGGTCATGACCCACAGGCTGAGAACCACTGCTCTATAGAGTTTTGTCCTCAGAGGGAGGGCCTAATCCCTACTCCAAATGACTTGACAGATTTTGTTGATCCCTCCTGGACTGCATCACCCTCCCTGTGGAGGGGTGGGAGAATGGGATGGGAGGGTGGTCAGGGGGCATGGATAGGGAGGGAGGGAGGGAGGGAGAGAGAGAGAGGGAAAGGAAACTGGGATCGATATGTAAAATAAGAAAAAAAAGGGGGTTCTGTCCTCATCCACATACAGACTACAGCACAAATACCCATCTATTCTATCAAGATGCCAACCACTCTAGAGGTAGAGTGGTCAACAGGATGTTCACTGCTGGGCCAGGGTCACCAGCTACCTCATCCATCAGGCTACCCTCACAGATGGTGCCAAGGACGTCAGCAAGTTAACTAGAGGCAGGCACACATAGTCTCCACAGACCTGTGTGGTAGTTTAGTTTTTTTGTTTGATTGTTTGTTTGTTTCCTTCTCATCTGCTTTGTTAGTTCTTTGACATAGTTATAGAAGTTGGGAATCTGACAATTCCCCAGAGTCCAGAGAATACCCAAGTCTATGTAGTACACACTCAGAAATCAAATTATATATTACCCCTTGACTTCTGAAACAGTCTCCTCATGCCAAGTGGCTGCCAGGACCTGTTCCCTCCTGAAGCTGTGAAAGATTTTAGTTTGCAGAGCAAGGATGTAGGAAAGAGCAGAAGAATAAATCTTGCAAGCAGAATATAAAAAATCATAAAGAATGGACATTGACATGGGAGGAAAAGACAGAAATTTATGAGAACAAGAAAGGTTACTGTGGTGATGGGGCTAGTGGTTATATGCTAGACTGATCTTGTTAAATAGGGCTGGCTACTGAATCATCAATCCTTTGTGGAATAACTGAAGGCTCTAAATGTACCAGCCAAGAGAAAGCCAGAGTATGAAAACAGTTTCTCACAGGTCATGGCCCACAACAAGGAAATAGGCCCCCCAACCCTGGAACAGATGGTCCCAGATGAACAGCCCTGTTTGGGTCACTCCTGGCCAACACAGTCTGGGGACTTTCCAAGTCATTCTATGGTTTATCCTTTGAATAAGAACAGGTCATACCTGGGTGATCTCTCAAACATAAAATCATATTTTGTAATCAATCACCTTGTGCCCCATGCATGTATGCTGGTTGTGGTCTTTCTCTATAAAAAGAACCTGGACCCTTTGAGGGGTGTGCAGCTTTCCCGAGATCGCTGACACCAGTGCACTCATTCAATAAACACCTCTTGCTTGTTGCATCTCCTGGTTTTGGTGTTTGTGTCACGGGGCTCTCCTACCGGCCCATCAGGACCCCGGAATTAGGGTCCAATAGCTGCAGATCCACTTCTTTTTTTTTTTTTTTTTTTTTTTTTGGTTTTTCAAGACAGGTTTGACCAGACTGGCCTCCAACTCACAAGAGATCTGCCTGCCTCTGCCTGCTTAGTGCTGGGATTAACAGCATGTGCCACCAACAACCTGCTCAGATGCACTTCTTCAGTGGTGTCTGTTTGATGAACCCTTCAAGGAAGACTACCCAGCTGGCTTTTCTTCTCCTACCACTCTACCACAGTTTGGCCAACAGCAGAAAAAAAATGGTCATTTGGAAAAATTTTCCTTATTGTTTTATATGTTTGAAAAAAACAGAAATCAGAACACCTATACTTAGTTCAATCCTGCCAACACTAGAATGTTATTTTAGAAAAGTCTCTATCTCACCAAACTTTCCATGAAAAATAATAAATGTATGCTTTGATAGATCTGTCCTAGAATTTTGTCAATTTGGCATAAGCTAGAATTATCTGAAAGGGAAACTTGGTTGAGAAAATGCTAACTTAAGATTCAGCTGTGGGACATTTTCCTAATTAGTGAGGGCTCTGCTCATTATGGGTGTGGCCATCCCTGAGGTGGTGGACCTAAATTCTACAGGAAGACAGGATGAGCAAAGTCATAGAGCAAGCCAATAAACACCTCCCCTCCATGGCCTCTGCATCAGCTCCCCACTCCAGTTTCCTGCCCTGTTTGAGATCCTGTCCTGGCTTCTTTCAGTGATGGTCTACAATGTGTAAGCAAAAATAAGCCCTGCCTCCCTAACTTGCTTTGGATCATGGTGTTTTATCAAAACAACAGTAATGCTAACAAAGACATCTTCTCTCTAGTGAAGACTAGGTGAAATTTTTACTTCTTTCTCTTTTTCTTTTACTTTTTGAGACAGGGTTCTCTTTGTAGCCCTAGTTGTTCTGGAATGTTCTCTTCATAGACAAGGATGGCCTCAAACTCAGAGATCTACCTGTCTCTGCTTCCATAGTGCTGGGACCAAATGCTTATGCCAAGGGGAGTCTTAACACACACACACAAAAAAAAATAAAAATAAAAAACATACTATACAACTGGCTGATTATAGAATCAAACAAAACTATGAAACTTCTAGAAGTCTGTCACTAGTGCTTCCTCAGGTTGGGTGATAAGCCACATTTGGAGCTAAATAGCCTAAAACTCAAGTAACTATTCCCATTTCCCCTCAATTCTTCTATTTCACTTGAATTGAGAATCTTCTGGAAGGTCTAAACAACAAAAGCTCACTCGGCCTGATTTTAGAGTCTATGCAGAACATCAGCATACTAGTTTGTTACTCCAACTGCTGCATGTTCCTAAGAGAAGTCACTGTTTCTTTGATCTTTAGAGAACAGTTAGTGCTCCAGCTTTGGCCCAAAGGACTAAACAGATTTTAGTTTAGTTTAGTTTTAGCTTTAGCAAAATGTACTGTTTATACCATATCGTAATCTAAAATAGAAATTGAAATGTATCATCAAGCCCTATGTATACTGCTAACATTTATTTTGAAAAATAGGTGTGTGCTGCACATGCAGCAGGTAGTTAATACTTTCATCCCTTGCTGAATTAAAAAATGCATAAATATAAAATAGCACTAGATAAGAATACACACTATAATAATAGTCTTAGTCTTATAAAACTGCTCACTTAAAATATTAAAGAAAACTCTTAGAAGGGTCTCAAATTTACAGAAAAATTCAACAGTGATTTTAACAATTAGTTCAAAGAGATGGCAAATTCTCTAAGATGGCTAAATATAACTGAAAGTCTTAATGCTTGTCTATAGCTAACTTAGGAGACTTGGTGATATCTAAAATAACACTCTGAGGACATATAGTATAAAAGCTAAAGAGCAGAAAGAATGCAAACTGCTCCTACCTGCACGAGATAGCCATGTTCATTGGCATTGAAGTGCCAGTGAGGAGCCCGGAGGCCCTTGCTTTTTATTCTCAGTGTCCCCAGAGTCATCTGCGATCTTAGACTGTTCAAGCTGGTGCCAAATGCCTCTTCTTCAACACTGAGATAGTCTTTGATGTTGTTCCTGTACCTCGCCCACTGGATTGCACCACCAGGGAACTCAAACACCTAAAAAAAATCATAAACAAGCAATCATCGGCATTAATTTACCTTCCACATTCCATAAAGAATGTGAGTCATTATTATTGACAGAGTAAGTAGGAGGCAAAAGGGAAAAGGAAGGTGGAGTGAATTTTAGGGGTTCCCAAAAGGAACAACACTCCTGTAAGAATCTAGGTATTACAACAGTTGTGTATGCCATGCCATCAACCTAATCTGTCATACACATACACACCCAAAACACAAACACACCCCACACACATGCATCATATATACCACATATATGCACAGGCCACACACATACTCACAACATACACAATACATACATACACACACATCACACACACACCACACACAACCTACTCATATACATTCTACACACATACATCATACACACCACATACACACACAACACACACACATACATACACACACATCACACACACCACCCACAACCCACTCACACCCCCCACACACATATACATACACACACACCACACACACAACCCACTCACATACACCCCACACACACATCATACATACCACATACATAACACAGACATACACCACACGCATACAATCAGCACACAAATCTACCTTTCCATTTATAACCTGGCATTTCTCTTCCCTAGCTAGAACAAAGAATGATCTACTGCTGCCATCATCAACCCAGCTTTCCACTCTACTCTCCACCTCCTTTCATCCCTCTGGCCCTTCCCATGGAAACAGTTTAATGATGTGAAGTGCAAACATAGTTTAAAACCACCATTTAGAAAACTGTTTCTTAATCTTTGTTATTCTCACCTGGGATTGGGGTAAATGATTGAGAAACTGAAATTTTGGATCAACAGCCTTTTGTCCTTGGGGAACCATTGTGTGTGGAGGTGAGGCTTCCTTCTCAAAGTGAGGCTTGGCATTGACATAAACCAAGGAGAGGGTAAGTACTCCTACTGCTGTGGTGATGAAGCAGGCCAGCAGGCACAACAGGAAAACACTCAGCAGTGACCACTGCCTCTTCTTTTCCTAGGAGAAATTTTGAAATCATCATTCTCCACATCTGACAAAATTGAAACATCTCCTCTCTGGACCTGGCTTTTTTTTTTTTTTTTTTTTTTTTTTTTTTGGTTTTGTTTTGTTTGTTGTTTTTTGTTTTGTTTTGTTTTGTTTTGTATTTTTTTCTTTCTGGTAACTTCATTCAGTATACTCTAAAGTCTATTATCTATTGATGTTGAATCAGGAAACAATCAGAAACTGAAACATTTAGTGCTTTTTGACTTTTTTTTTTAACCACAGCCATATTAAATTCATTACTACACTTATCTAATACAAACAAAACACACATCATCATCATCTTTCAAACAAAATTCTCCTAAATAATGTTTGTTGTTCTATTAGTTTTAAAATACTATTCCTATACACCAATACTAGTGGAGACAGTCTGGAGTTTGGCTGGGTCCTTTAAGTAGAAAATAAACAAGAGTTTATACTGCCTCATCTGATTAGTAGAGAAAGGGGCAGGCTGTTTAAATGTCAATGAATAATCCACCAAACAAAAAGAGTAAGAAATTTTTTAAAATCTTCCCTTTGACTTGTTTGAAGTTAATCTATCAGAATGTATAAAATATTGCCTATGAGAGACCCCCAATTAAGGGGCTAATTTATTTTAACCTAGTGATAAAAACCCAACAAGTCAGGAGCATTCATTGATGTTATGTGATGCTTCAGAGAGAATTGGCCATCAAAGAAGCAGTAGTTAAGGGTTTATAAGGAAGGACACAGAAGCAATGAGAAAAGGGTCTCATTGAGAGCACTGGTCAAAAGAGGAGTGAATTCTTTCCTGAGCTCCACACCAGTCAAGGCACATAACCCCAGCATACAAATCCCCACCTTACCACTTTGGAGGAGGCACTGATCTTTCCCATAGATGAAGCTTTCTGTGTTCCATCTTCTTGCATTTCAAATGCTAAATTGTCCATTGGCAAAAGGACCAAGCAATTCACTGAAAAGGAAAGAAGGAAAGTAGGGCTTTAGTAAATGGAGATTCCCAAAGAGGGGAGAATGAGAATTCTTAAGAAAGGAAGTACTTATATAGAGCTGATAACTAAGGTAAATAAGGAAGCTGTCTCCCAAATTATAATAGTGCCAAGAAAAAAATTACTCATGGAAGAGATGCAATTGTCCCCAATTCCTTGACAACTGATAATGCATGCTCAGACAGTGATAACCATAGACCTTTACTTCCTCCTAGCACTAACACTATGTGTCAGATGTTGGGTACTTTAAAAATAGTGTATGACTTCATTCTTACAGTAATGTCATCCATTTCTCTAGTTCTCATTTTTTTTAAATGGGAAATTGAGCCACAGGGAGATGCAGAAACTACCCAGAGTTAGAGCCAATTTCATTGTTGGGGATAAGCACTTATGATTCTCCCATGATGTCACTTCTCTTGGAATTTGATGGTAGACATGTAATATAGTAACATATTTTCATATGTAAATCAGCTGTTTCTAAACTTGTGAGTTGTTCTTCTAATGCTTATGAAATAAACTTGCAATCAAACAGTTAATTTCTTATTTTTATTAGCACATATTATATACATAGATTTCACTGTGACATTTTCTTTTCTTTTTTGACATTTTTATATATATAATATACTTAAGTTAAATTTTCTAATATTCACTTTGAATCATTTTTCTTCATTATGAGTGATAAACGACTACTCTAAAATCAGCAACTGTAATCCAAAAAAGCATCACTACTTCCTTTTACCTAGCCTTCTTCCTGCCTTTTTTTTTTTTTTTTTTTTTTTTTTTTGCTTATAAATCTATACTTAACTGTTAAAGAGTTGACCTTGAAATTTTCCTATTATATTTATATAACCCAAGGAGCATGATTTACCATTTGACATCTCTGTAAAAGGGAGATGTTTAATTCATCTTTTAGACTCACTAAAAATAATTCACACACTTTCATTACTGTTCATCAGACAATGGTAATATTCGTATCAAAGCATAGTTTACATAATTTGTGTGTTCCTCTTCTCTCTTGAATATATGAAAATACTGTCCTCTAACACTGGCATATTTAGAGTCTGTACTTATTTTTCTTTTTTTCATTTATCTAAACAGCTGCACAAGTAAATCATCAACCAAACCCTACTAGAATTCACAGATAATAAACTAAATCAAACACTGTAGCTAGATAAGGTCTTTGAGAGCTAGATAAGGTCTTTGAGCTTTGCAAATTAAGAAAAATGAAGGTTCAAAGAGGCCAAATTATTTTTTCCAAGCAAGTTAATGGAGTAGGTCACTAGCAAAGCAAAAACGCAGCTAGCCCACTGCTAAGCAGCCTTCTTCCCACTGATCCACAGGGCATGTGTTTGCATGATGACTTCGTTCCTTCTGATACATTAAATAGTCGAGGATAACATGGATATTATAGTGACACAGGGGTCACACAGAAGCAGTAGAATCATTGCAAGTCCATGACTAGCCCCCTACACAAAGAAAGTTAAAGGCAGACAGGGATACATAGTGACACTTCGTCTCAAAACAAAACAACAAAAAGTCAAGATAAATTTAAGTCCAGCATCAGAACACAGAAATGTTGTCAACATCACTGTGAGGCATGTGAATGGAATTCTGTGGTGCAGACCAGAGACCCCACTACAGGAGGGTATGTACTAGCCATTCCCATTATCCCCAGAGGTGAAGCTGCTTTTGTTAAACTAGAAATGATTAGCAGGCTGGGAAGAAATAAGGCAACACTTCAAATTAAGCAGACTCCATAATGAAGCCATATCACCAAGCAGTATAAAGAATAGAAAAGTTGTGATTCTGTTTCTATTTCTTTGTAAGACATCTAACGACTGATGTAACAGACATGCTTATATGCTATGGGCAGGACAAAGGCAAACTCAAACTGAGGAAAAAATAATTGATAAATATTTCTGAGGAAAAAATAATGGGTAAATATTTCTATTTGCCCTTCTTAGTTGTTGAAGTAATTGTGTCTCAACTATATACAAGCACCAAACATATTTGTTGAATTCACATATGCTGTCAAATATAAAACCCACTCAATTCAAGCATAATTAGAAAATGCTGATCTCTGAAGATCCACTCTGAGTTCCTGCCCGCAAGATCCTTGACCCCCAAATCCCGGGCCGCTGCTAAAGAAAGAGGCCTCAGCTGGAGAGTTCCATTTCCAGTGAGATGCAACTATCCTGCAAAACCTTCCCAAGTTTCAGCTCAGCCTTCGTCCTCTTCAGCCAGCTATTGTCCAGAGGTGAGTCTGGGCCCAACCAGGGCTGCCTCTCCCCTACAACCTCCTCCCCCACCCCGAAATCTCTGGGTTGGCCCCTGATCCTGCTACTCCTGTGTCCGGTCCCCATCAAGAGCACACTTGGAGCTCTGATATACCCCCACCCATCCCCACCGCGAGCCTGCCCCCCCCCACCCTGTGCCCTAACCTGCCCACAATCCTGCTGCTCAGGTTAAGCACTGGGACAGAGGGTGGAGCCAACAGTCCACCCTACTTAAGAGACTTCTCTGAGCAAGTCTAAACAAAGGAGACCTGCCTATCCACACGCGGAACCACCCAAAATGACTTAAAAATTACCATCATAAAAATGATAGAGGCCCTCAGAGAAGATGTGAGAAAATCCCTTAAAGAAATGGAGGAAAAAACAAACAAAAAAGTGGAAGAAATGAACAAATTCCTTAAGGAAAGTACAGAAAGCCAAGACAAAACAACCAGATGAAGGAAACGGTTCAAGACTTGAAAACTGAAATAGAGAAAATAAAGTTTACACAAACCAAAGGAATGCTGGAAATAGAAAAATTGGGCAAAAAATCGGGAACTACAGACACAAGCATAACCAACAGAATACATGAGATGGAAGAGAGAATCTCAGGCACAGAAGATAAACTAGAAGAAATAGATTCATCGACCAAAGAAAATCATAAATCCAACAAATCCTTAACACAAAACATCCAGGAAATGTGGGACACAATGAAAAGGCCAAACCTAAGAATAATAGGCATAGAGGAAGGTGAGGAAGCCCAGCTCAAAGGTGCCGAAAACATATTCAACAAAATCATCGAGGAAAACTTTCCAAATCTGAAGAAGGACATGCCCATGAAAGTACAAGAAGCATACCGAACACCAAATAGGCTGGACCAAAGAAAAAAGACCCTCGACATATAATAATCAAAACACCTAGCATACAGAATAAAGAAAGAATATTAAGAGCAGCGAAGGAAAAAGGACAGGTAACATATAAAGGCAGAACTATCAAAATTACACCTGACTTCTCCATGGAAACCCTCAAGGCCAGAAGGTCCTGGATAGATGTTCTAAAAGTATTAAGAGGACACGGATGCCAGCCTAGGCTACAATAACCAGCAAAACTCTCAATCACTATAGATGGAGAAAACAAGATATTTAATGACAAAACCAGATTTTCCCAATACGTATCTATAAATCCAGCCCTACAGAAAGTATTGGATGGAAAACTCCAACCCAAGGAAGGTAACTACGCCCACAAAAATGTAGGCAACAGATAATCCAACTACACCAGAAACCAAGGGTAAAGCAGAACTAATATATTCACAATACCACTGCCAACAACAAACCTAAATCAAACAAGCATCAACAATCATTGGTCCTTACTCACCCTCAACATTAATGGTTTTAACTCACCTATAAAAAGACAGAGGCTAACAGAATGGATACGAAGACAGAATCCATCCTTTTGCTGCACACGAGAAACACATCTAAGCTTCAAAGATAAACATTACCTCAGGGTAAAGGGTTGGGAAAAGATTTTTCCAATCAAATGAAAATAAGAAGCAAGCAGGCGTAGCTATCCTAATATCTAACAAGTTAGACTTCAAACCAAAATTAATCAAAACAGATGAAGACTGTCATTTCGTTTCCATCGCAGGAGAAATTCATCAACACAAAGTCTCAGTTCTGAACATCTATGCCCCTAATACAAAGTCACCCACATTCGTAAAAGAAATGCTACTAAAACTCAAAGCTCATATAAACCCTCACACACTTACAGTGGGAGACTTCCATACACCACTCTCAACACTACACAGAACCACAAATCAGAAACTCAACAAAGAAATAAAAGAACAGATGTTATGTCTCAACTGGGTTAACCGACATCTATAGAACATTCCATCCAAACACAAAAGAATATACCTTCTTCTCTGCTCCACATGGAACCTTCTCTAAAATCTTCTCTAAAATGTTATGCCATACTAGGTGGCATAACAAACCTCAACAGATACAAGAGAATAGGAATAGTCCCCTGTATCTTATCGGACCACCATGCTTTAAAATTGGAATTCAACAACAACAAAAATAGCAGAAAACCTGCAAACTCATGGAAACTGAACAATGTGCAATTACACCACTCCTGGGTCAAAGAAGAAATAAAGAAAGAAATTAAGGACTTTCTAATATTCAACTAGAATGAGGACACAACAAACCCGAACTTATGGGACACCTTGAAAGCAGTGCTACGAGGGAAGTTCATTGCACTAAGTGCCCATATGAAGAAAACAAGATAATCACATAAGAGAATTAACAGCGTAACTGAAAGCCTTAGAACAGAGAGAAGTGAATTCACCCCATAGGAGTAGACACCAGGAAATAATCAACTTGAGGGCTGAAATCAACAAAATAGAAACCAAGAAAACAATACAAAAAAAAAAAAATCAATGCAACAAAGAGTTGGTTTTTTGAGAAAATCAACAAGATAGACAAACCTTTATCCAAATTAACAAACAGCAGAGAGAGACCATGCAAATTAACAAAATCAGAAACGAAAAGGGGAACATAACAATGGAAACAGGGGAAATCCAGACAATTTTCAGGTCATACTTTGAAAATCTGTATCCCACAAAAATTGAAAATTCAAAGGAAATGGACAAATTTCTGGATAACTATCACTTACCAAAATTAAATCAAGAACAGACAAACAACTTAAATAGACCTATAACCCGCAATGAAATAGAAGCAGTCATCAAAAGCCTTCCAACCAAAAAAAGTCCAAGGCCAAATGGATTCAGTGCAGAATTCTACCAGACATTCAATGAGGAACTAATACCACTACACCTCAAACTGTTCCACAAAATAGAAACAGAAGGTTCACTGCCAAACTCTTTTTATGAGGCCACAATAACCTTGGTACCCAAGCCTCAAAAACACAACTAAGAAAGAAAACTAAAGACCAATATCCTGATGACTTTAAGCTCTACTACAGAGCTATAGTTCTGAAAACAGCCTGGTATTGGCATAAAAATAGATAGGTAGACCAATGGAATCGAATTGAAAATCCTGATATTAACCCACACACCTATGAACACCTGATTCTCGACAAAACAGCTAAAATTATACAATGGGGCAAGGACAGCATCTTCAACAAATGGTGCTGGCACAATTGGATGAGGGTGTGTAGAAGACTGCAGATAGACCCATGTCTGTCGCCATGCAAAAAACTCAAGTCCAAATGGATCAAAGACCTCAACATCAATCCAGCCTCTTAGAAGAGAAAGTAGGAGGTACCCTTGAACAAATTGGTATAGGAGACCGCTTCCTGATCATAACTCCAGGAACACAGACACTGAGAGAAACAATTAATAAATGGGACCTCTTCAAACTTAGAAGCTTCTGTAAGGCAAAGAACACAATGGACAAGACCAAACGACAGCCTACAGACTGGGAAAAGATTTTCACCAATCCTATATCCAACAAAGGGCTGATCTCCAAAATATACAAAGAACTCAAGAATCTAGTCAACAAAACACCAAATAACCCTACTAAAGAATCCCCTTGAGATCAACAACTAACTTCTCCATGGAGCCCTCAAATAATGCCTGTTGAAAACAGGATCAAACACCCATACATAAACACTGAGTCCAACTAGAACCCAGATGCAGATGGAGAGGACAAGACCATGCGGCAGAAACACATACAGACAGCTTACCTGAACAAGGAGAAGCTAATGGGCCACTAGACTGATAGCTGGGAAGCCAGCATGGGACTGACTCAGGCCCCCCTGAATATGGGTCTCAGCCAGAATGACTAAGCAGTCTAAGAGACCTCAGACAGTGGAGCCAGGATGTATCCCTGGTGCACAAAAGGACTTTGCGAACACATCCCCCATGGAGGGATAACTGCCTTAATCTAGAGACAGGAGAGAAGCCCTAGTCCCTACTTCACATGACCTGTCAGATCTACATGACCCCAACTGATGGGAGATGCCATTATGTATATATGTTTCTCATACTGGTTAATAATAAAGCACTGTTGGCCAATAGGAAAGGAAGATAGGAGGGACTAGGAGACAAGGAGGAAATAGGAAGTAGTTAGGAGGAGTCAAGATGGAGAGTCTGAAGAAAGCAGTATGCCGCCGCTGGCTCCCCAGTAAGAGAAATACATAGATCAGCAGAAATGGGTTAATACTTAAGACAGAGCTACCCGATAAGAAAGTAGTAACTGGACAACAGTATAATATCTAATACAGAGTCTCTGTTTATTATTTGGGGCTGGCGCGGCGGCGGGACAAGACTGGCGGCAGGCGGAAAAAACCGTACTCGTTACACCCAACTGGATGGCATTCCACTATATATGGAATTGGGGTGAGGGGATGGGAGGGGAGGGTGGTTAGAGTGCATGTGAGAGGGCAGGCAGAGAGGGTAAAAGGGAGGGAAGGAGGGAGGGAGGAAGGGAGGGAAGGAGGGAGGGAGGGAAGGAGGGAGGGAGGGGAAGGAGGGAGGGAGGAAGGGAGGGAGAGGGAACTGGGATCAACATGTAAAATAATAAATTTTAAAAAAATGCTTTGATTCCAAAATTTAAGTTGAAGGACAAGTTACTGGGGAAAATGATTTCTATTTTTCTTTCCACAGAAAATGAAAGGATGTGAATTCCTTCCAGACTAATGTGGTTTGATGACTCCAGACTGCCTGAAACAGAGTATGAGGTGATCCTACATTCAAAACAGCTGGACAAAGCAGCCTTATAGACTACAGCCAGGATTTCTGAATCTTCTTCGAATCCCCCATGACAGTGCCCCCTACCAGCAGGAAGTAGTTTGGAAAGAACAATGCCCAAATTCCCAAATATTGTCTATAAATGTTTGTTTTCATTTAAATGGATTTGGTTATATAAAATAAATAAAAAAAGAAAAGAAAATGCTGCATCTTTATACCTATATGGAGAGGCTGATATAAGAGCTGATAATCTAAGAGTCTAAATTCAGTAGTGGTTCCTGGAGTCTAAGAAGACAGGGATTTGATGGGTGTGACTAGATAAGTAGATGGCATGCAAAGTTTTATAGCACAAGATATTCATGACTGACAACAAAGAACTGGATACTCCCAATAAGTAATAGGATTTGTTTTATTTTTGTCAGAACAAGGAAATGACGTCACAGGGTGATTACATAGGCCAATTATCTTAATCAATCATTACACATTATCTACATGAAACAAAATGCAAATACCACCTCTCATAAATGTGTCAAATTGTCCTGTGTCGATTAAAAAGATAAACTGGGAATTTTTAAGTCAGATGAGGGAGGGCACAATATTACCACATGACTCACTAAGGAGAAGTGTGGGAATAAGGAAAGTTACTATTCCACAGAAAGCTAGAAACTCATAGATGTAGTGACTGATATCTCCAAAGGTAAAACACACACACACACACACACACACACACACACAGAGCTCTTTGGCCAACTGCTCCAGCTCCTGTCCCTTGTCCTGTAACCGCTCGATGGCCTGCCCCAGAGACCTCTCTACGGCTATGATGCCATTCTCCAGCCTCAGGTTCTGCTGCCCCTCAAGGTCCACTTCCCCCTTGACTTTTTCAATCTTCCCTTTCACCTCTTCCTCGTTGACCTCTACCTCCTCAACTTCCCAGTGAAGCTTTTCTGCTCCTAGGGCACCTTCCAAAGTGTAGACCTGTGCCAGGTAATCCTTCAGCTTGCTATCACAGTCCATGACTTTCTGCCGTATCTCATCAAGCTTGTCTTGCAGCTGCCTCTCATTTTCTTGTAGTTCACTTTCCCAAAGTTCCTCCTCCTTGATCTCCACTTCATTCCTTTTGAACTTTTGCTCTAGGTGGACAATTTCTTCTTCCAGGCTGGAATTGTGCTTTTTCTCCCAGAATCATATTTCTGTCTCATTGGACTGCAGCTGCTACTCGATGGGCAGCAGCTCATCTGTCTGGAGTCAGATCAGCCTCTGCTGTGAACCTGCAATTACTCAACACTTTCTGCCTAAACTCGGTTTCTTTCCCTTTTCCAAAAATGTCCATCAGCCCCTTGGCACCTCCCATGAAGGCCAGGGATTTTCTTTTAGGTTCCCTCCTTTTGATTGACTTGTCCACCTGAGGTCTGTTCAACTATCATAGCAGTGTTATTTAGAATAGCCATAACCTGGAAGCAACCTAGATGTCCCTCAACTGAAGACTGGATAAAGAAAATGTGGTACATTTATACAATGGAATACTACTCAGTGGGAGAAAAAAAACAATGGAATCTTGAAATTCTCAGGCAAATAGACGGAACTAGAAGAAACCATCTTGAGTAAGGTAACCCCACCACAGAAAGACAAATACGGTGTGTACTCACTCATATATGGATTTTAGACATAGAGCAAAAGATTACAAGCTTACAATCCACACCATCAGAAAAGCTAGGAAACAAGGAGGACCAAGTGAGAAGGGGAAAGGGACAAGATCTCCTGATCAAATTGGGAGCATTGGGGGAGGGGAGAGGGAGTTAAAAGAAAGAGATGAGGAGGAGGGGAGAGGAGGACATGAGGGAACAGGAAGATTGAGACATGGGAAGAAAAGAGGAAAACAAGAAAAGAGACACATCAATAGAGGGAGCCATTATAGCTTTAAAGAGGAATCTGGCACTAGGAAATGTCCAGAGACTTACAAGGATGACCCCAACTAACAATCTAAGTAGTGGTGGAAAGACTACCTTAAATGCCCTTCCCTGATAATGAGGTTGATGACTACCTTATATGCCATCATAGAGCCTTCATTTAGTAGCTAACAGAAGCAGAAGCAGACACCCACAGCTAAACACTGAGCCGAACTCCTGGGATCCAACTGCAGAGAGGGAGAAGTGATGAGCAAAGGGGTCAAGAACAGGCTAGAGAAATCCACAAAAACAGCTCACCTGAACAAGGGGGAACTCATGGATCCCAGACTGATTGCTGGGAAACCAGCATAGGACCGACCCAGACTCCCTGAATATGGGTCTCAGTTAGGAGGCCTAGGCAGTCTAAGGGACCTCTGACAATGAGACCAATATGTATCCCTAGTGCACTAAAAGACTTTGAGAGCACATTCCCCATGGAGGGATACTCCCTTAGCCTAGAGACAGGAGGGAGGGCCTAGGCCCTATCCCAAATAACTTGACAGATTTTGATGATCCCTCATGGAAGGCCTCAATCTCCCTGGGGAGTAAATGTGGGATGTGATGGAGGAGAGGAGGGTCTGTGGAGAACATGGGAGGATGGGAGGGAAAGGGAAAAATAGTAAATAAAAAATACAATATTATATATTATATATCTGCCACCAAGGTCCTTGTGTGGGTTCATGGTTCATGGTACTGCTGCAGCTGGGGTCTATGTTGATGTCTGTGGTCTGTGTTATCACCAAAATCTTTGCAGATGTCTGTGGTCTATGCTGCAGCCTGAAGCCACTTTGATATCTATAGGCTGTGCTGTCACTGGAGGCCATACTAATGTGCCTGCACTGCCACCTAAGGCCATGTTGATATCCATTGTCTGGACAGTCTCTGAAGGCTGTTTGGGTCTATGGTCCTGTGGCTGCAGGAGGTCATGCTTGTGGTCTGCACTGTTGCCAGAAACCAAGTGGAGGCCCATGATCCATGTTCTGGCTGACTTCAAAGAGCAAGGAAACTGCTTGATGCACAGTTGAGAAAGAGAGATATGGAAGGTACCTGGGACAACCCCTACCTTCATCCCAACCTGCCCTCCAAAAAGTAACAGCCTAGACAGGAAGCCTCTGAAGGAAACACTTCAAAAGTGAGATGGAGATGCTGGAAAGTAGCTCTCCATAACTTAGCGCTTCTGGTGGAGGTATTCTATCACAAGGGGCAAGCCACGAAAAAGTTGAACATGCTCCAGAGATTATATAGATAAAACAAAATGAACTGCCCTCATTTTCTTTTACCTTTTACTTCTTTTGGGGAGGGGTCACAAGGGGGTAGACATGGAAGGACTAGGAAGGGATTGGGATCAGGGTGCATGATGTGAAACTCCCAGAATATCAATAAAAATGTTATGTGAAAAAATATTTATATATAATTTATATATATATACTTATTATATATAAGCATACAATATATATGTATATATACACTATATATATATAAATCTTTTTAAAGAAAGACATAATCAGAGAAGAAGCTCTTTATGATGTCAAAAATTTGAAGCAAAAAAAAAAAAACTCAAAATGCTGGGTGGTGGTGGCACACATCTTTAATCCCAGCACTCAGGGGGCAAAGGCAGGCAGATCTCTGTGAGTTCCAGGCCAGCCTGGTCTACAGAGCAAGTGTCAGGATAAGCTCCAAAATTCCACAAAGAAACCCTGTCTCAAAAAAACAAAACAAAACAAACAAAAACAAAACTCAAAACAAACTAGAACCATAATATTAAAAGCAATATGAGAAAACAGCATAATGTTCTAAAATCTCTCATTAGTAACCTTAAAATCAGGGAGTGATGGAACAACATATACAAGCCCAGATATCTTATTCCAAAGAAGTTATATCCATTGTAGCTATCTTTTAAAATTGTCCAGAGTGGTGGTACAAGTCTGTAATTCAAGCTAGTAGGCTTAATGGGGCAGGAGGATCGCAAGTTCAAGGCCTGCCTCAAGTTCAAAGTTCAAGGTCAGCCTAAAAAACTTAACAAGACCCCGTCTCAAAGGCAAAACAAAAAGGAAGGAAAGAAGTAAGAAAGGAAGGAAGAGAGAGAGAGAGAGAGAGAGAGAGAGAGAGAGAGAGAGAGAGAGAGAGAGAGAGAGAGAGAATGATGTGGTATGTCTGCATGATGGAATTCTATTCAGCCATAACAAAATTAAATTATGATATTTGCATCTCTCTGTACGTGCAGATTTTATATATGTATATATGTATGTATGTATGTATGTATGTCTGAGAGTCAGAAAGACTGAAAGAGGGGAGAGAGAGAACAGAACAGATAGAAATGTAGAGAAAAGTGGCCATGAAAGAAGACCCTAAGGCAGAAAGGACAGGGGAAGAGAAGATAATGAAATATATGTGACATGAGAGCAGGATGGGTGACTATGGGTAGTGGTTATAGGAGAAAATTAAAATACAGCAAGAAAATACTTTAATGAGACACATAGTTCAGAAAATAACTTCAAAGTCATATTTTTTTTACTTCAAAAAGAAAAAAAACATTTTAAAAATTGCAAAGTCTTAACTGTAGCTGTAACAAAAGGAAGCAACTAGAGAAAACATGGGTATTAAATGAGAAGGATCCTGTAAGAGACAAATGTTATAAAAATAAAGTCTCATGAGATCTGGGCAGGGACTCTACTATGGAGTTAATAGTGTCTTTGCAGAGTGGCTGAAAGCAGGCCTATGATATGCAGACCTTAATAAAAGAAGAGATGCTCAGGAAATGTCTTTGCAAGTCTGTGCTCTCCACTTATCCCCAGAAGTTTAGTAGAAAGGGGAGAGGAGGAAAGAATGAGAAGGGAAAAAAATGTTTCCTTTAATCCCAACACTCAGGAAGCAGAGGCAGGTGGATCTAGGTCAGCTTGGTCCACAGAGTAAGTTCCAGGACATCTAGGACTACAGAGAGAAACCCTGTCTCAAAACAATGACAACAAAAGTTGATTCTTTTCCTAGGCAAACAACGAGTATACATTCCCCAATATCTCTTACATGTGTTGCCACTTGATTCAATACAATTATTATCAGAAACCCTGTGGGCCACTTACAAGCTTAGACTTTTCTTTCATAGGAAAGGTGTTAATTTTTTATTTAAATAATATTGCTTTCTCTTGCTTTACATACCAACCAGTTTCTGCTCCCATCCCCTCCTCTTTCCCATTTATCCCCCTTCCTATCTGTTCCATTTCCATTCAGAAAGGGATATGGACACTGAACCAACAGTCAGGGAGCCTGCATGGGACTGACCTAGGCCCTCTGCATGTGTGTGACAATCGTGTAGCTTGGTCTCTTAAGGATTCTAACAGTGGGAGCAGGACCTCTCCCTGGCACTTAGCTGGCTTTTGGTAACCTGTTCCCCATGCTGGATTAGGCCTCCACATAAGAGGAGGAGCTCAGTCCTGCCTCAACTTGATGCACCATGCTTTCTTCAAGATTTTCCTTTTTAATGAGGAAACACCCTCTTGAAGCTACCTTCCTCTTTTACCAGCTGGATGCAATGATGCCTGCAGTGGTATCTTTGGGAACAGTCTAGGTGGATCTGTCTGGAACTATGTAAATACACCAGTCAGTGAAGAAATCTGTCTCCAATCCCTGCATCTGTGAGTAGGGAAGCTCTGTTAAAACTCACTGTTGTAACTCACACTTGGCCAGTCCATTTTACCATCCACCAAAAATATATTTACAACTTCTGGTGATATATTGTTTATTATTTAATTAAGCTTGCCTGGGGATCAGAATGCAAAGCTATAGCCATAGAAGCTGGGCAGTGGTGGTACACACCTTTAATCCCAAGACTCAGGAGACAGGCAGATGGGTCTCTGTGAGTTCAAGACCACCCAGGACTACATGGAAACGAATCAGTCTAAAAGAAAAACAGAGCTAATGCCTTTAATCCCAGCACTAGGAAGTATATAAGGAGCTCAGTGTGGAAGACCCCCAAAAGACCCCAAGAGTTCAGAGCCTATCAGGGGGAAGGCCCTTGCCCTCAAGAGACCAGACCAGACCACTGAATGCAAGTGCAAGAGGTTATTTATTCCTTACACAGGTACCTGTGGACACTTCAGTCTTTCGGGGGACTGAGCGAGCATGCATGGTTAAAGCATATGCAATTTATATAGGGTTGGGGTGGCAAGAAGCAGGCTTACAAAAGCAGAAGCATGGTTACAGGGATTTCATTGTTTCATATAAATGTAGCGATTGTAGTTAACCAAGGACAGTTGGCTATTCAGGTTGGGCACAAAGAATACACAGAATTCAGTTATGACTATCTCAGCATCCCAGATACCATCCTCCTGACCTTGCTTTGGTCCAAGCTGCAGACCACAGATATCTGGTTGGCATTAGATGAGAGCAGCACCTGGTTCCCTCCTGTACTTTTCCCATAACTTGATGCAAGAGCAGTTCAAAAAGGCAATATGCATAGTGGGGGTCTTTCAAGTGCAATATCAGAGAGCAGTTAGAGGCTTCATGGAGAGCAGTGCAGACTGAATATACAGTCTGAGGTTCGGTGGATCGCCCCTGGAGTCTGAGCACTAGAACTCTCTACTGACTGGCTGCTTTGCTTCTTGGATCTTCAGATTGAACCCCAATATCTGTCTCTAGGTTTTTATTATTTGTGTTACAACAACAGTCCTACCCCCTAGTTCCCACTGGGATTTGCTGTAAACTTCATTCTTAGGGTAGGCAATAATCATAATAAATACAGCAAGTGCAAGAGCCGATAAGTGTATTACCTAGCAAAGGGCTAATCTAGATGTATAGTGCTATAACTCACTATATGAGTTTTGAGTGTGCACATGTTGGTACCAGAAGGGGGACCTTGAAGGAGAGGATATGATCATGGGCAGGGTGGGATCAGTTTACAAGACTTCTGTTTATTTTCCAAGAACATGTCACGTCACAAGAGAATATTATTTTCCTTTGAAAAACTGGATCCTTCTACATGTTATCCTAATGGAGAAGAGACGGCTGTTCTGAAGTCTAATAACAAGCCATCCCTGCTTCTGTCATCAGCCCTGCCCAACAGGAAATATTTAATTGGCTCGTAGCCTGACTTTTCCCCAAAATATGTAAAAACCTAAAGGCACAGGCACTGACCAATCAAAAGTAGCTAATTGTGTTGCCTTAACCTACCAACTTTATACTGAAGTGGTTGTTGAGAATATGAACTCTGGAACAATTAGTCACAACATCTGAATGATAATGGAGAGACTGACAAGGAAATGTTGGCATGAAATGTCTACCAGCAACAAGATTCATTAATGTTCTTATTATGCAAATGTTTCTTATCTGCTGCTTAGCTCTAACAGGATGAGTGGCTGTCAGAGATGAGAGATAACAACATGTACCAGACAATGTTAAAAGGCATGAGGTCAAGAAGGGACGCCAACCTATACCTCAAATATATTGCAATGCTATGATTCACTCTGAATCATACACAAGGAAAAAAAAACATTTTAAAGTGTGTTTTATAGTGTGCCCTGACAGAAAAGGCACCTTACTGGTGTTAGTATGCAGACATCTCTACTGGCCTGTCCTGGGGTTCTGACAGGATACATCCTCAGCTGTAGCCACTAAGAGCACCACCTGTACACATTCACCACATTCCCTTTTAAAAGGGCCCTGTTTACTCCCATCTTTCTCTTTCCCTCTCTCTCTCTCTACTCTCTGTTACTCTATTTCTGGTTCTCTCCCTCTCTCTCTCTCTCTGCTTCTCAGCCTCTCTCTTCTGCCACTCCTGACCCCAGAGTTCAGTGTTCCCTTTGCCCACCACAAGCTCTCTCATAGAATCAGTTCCTTCCAGCTGTAAGTTGGAGATTTTAGGTAGACCTTCTCACATATGTTCTATCCACTAGAAGTCAACTTATCCTCTGGACACACCATACTGCACTTAAATTTCATGTAGCTCCATATGCCTGTAAATATTTCCCTATGATA